AAGGCGGCAATACTTGCTGCTTGCTACGCTGTACAGGAGACAGCCATGAGAAATCTCATCAGAAGCATGCCGGATAAAATGATCAAACAGTACAAAACCATATAAGAGCCACCAGACTTTCATCTCGAGATATTTTTATTTTTTCTTGAGTATGTTTTCTTCTTCTTCTTCTCCCTAGCGTTAGTCCCGCGCCGTCGCAGGGTCCGCTGTTCTTGTTAGACGTCGCCATTTGTTCCGATCCACTGCATCTTCTGCCGTGGCTTTCACTTCAGTGAGGTCCTTCTTGATGACGTCCCTCCATCTTTTCTTTGGGGCTCCTCGTGGTCGCTTGCCCTCTGCTTCGAATTCCAATGCCTTCCTTATTGGGTGGTCTTCAGGCCTCCTCAGTACGTGCCCATACCATCGCAGTCGCTGCTCTCGTGCCTTCAGCTGGATCGGAGCCGTCTGTGTGACCGCCCTGACGTCCTCGTTTCTGACTCTGTCGAGTCGTGTCCAGCCGCAGGCCCATCTCAGCATCCTCATTTCAGCTGAGTGGAGCTGCCTTTCATGGTTCTTGCAGATAGGCCAGCACTCACTGCCGTAGAGCATTGTAGGCCTTACCACCGCCCGGTACACCTTGCCCTTGAGCGTTCTCGAGCACCGCCGGTCGCACAGGATGCCAGTGGACTCCCTCCATTTCATCCAGGCTGCGTTGATTCGGGCCTTTACCGCCTGGTCCATATTATCAGCTGCGGTCGCTCCCCAGTTGTTGGAAGTCTTCGACCCTTTCGATACCGCTGTGGCGGTCTACGATGGGTTCGGTACACTCTTGAGCTCAGGAACTTGGTCTTCTTCACGTTCAGCCGGAGTCCATTCTCAGCGAGCACATCCTGCCACCGCTGCACCTTGTCCTGGAGTTCCTCCCTGCTGTCCGCTATCAGGGCGATGTCGTCAGCGTAGGATGATTTCAGTGGCCCCTTCATGAATTCCCTTTGTCAGGACATCCAGTAAGACAAGAGAAGCGTGCTCAGGGCAGATCCTTGGTGTATCCCAACCGTGACGTCACCTCCTTTGTCTGGTCGTGTGGGATGCATACAGCCGCATGAGCTCTGCTTTTTTGGTCCAGGTACACTGGACGGCCCGTGTGGGCCTGGCATTCCTGCCACCAGTATTCTTCGACAGAGGCTATCTTTTTCCACCCTTGCATATGTTTTTTCCACCATCAGATTCTTCACTTGGTTCTTACCCTCGTTCTCTTGGGAAGGTCCTTGTGGATGTCTGCCAGGAGAGGCCTGTGCTGAGGGCCCAGCTCTTCCCCAGGCAGTACCTTGATATCCTTGACGGTTTTGAGAGACGATCTTCTGACCAGGACATGGTCGATTTCCGTTTGTCTCCCTCCACTGCTGTAGGTTATCTTCTGGTCTTCCTTTTCGCGAAGAAGGTGCTGCAGATTGCTAAGTCGTGGGCTGTGGCTAAGTCAATGATCCATTCTCCCTCGCTCAGAGTCACCCTCTGCAGTCGACCTTGCGGTCTCGTCTAGGATCAGGTAGAACACATCTTTTTCCAGCTTGGAGCAACCGAACTGCGAAGCGTACACGGTCACTATTGTCCAGTATCCATTTTTGGTGTCTATTCTCACAGCCATGATTCGATCACTGATCCTGTTCACAGAGGAGACGCAGTCCTTGAGGGATTCTGCCACCGCTATGGCCACGCCATTCCGTTTGGTGTCTGCTCCATTGTAGAAGAGTTTGACACCTTCTCCAATCTCGCGGGCCTTCGCACCCTTCCATCGCGTTTCCTGAAGGCATAGGACTTGGATATTCCTGCGTCTCATGAGGTCGGCAACCTCACGAGACTTCCCGGTAAGCGACCCCACGTTCAGGGTCCCATTCGAACTAGCTTCTTTAACACGTTGACGACGGTGTCGGACAATGGTGGGCGACAGCCAGTCTGTCTCATGGGACGGTGTCGGACAATGCTGTCCGACAGCATACTGCTCTAATAATAAAGACGTGCGAGCAACCAAGTTTGTTCAAAAGATGTCTATAGGAGTAGGCTGAAATTCTGAAACGAACAGCACAGTGGTTTGGCCTGCCCGGCGCCCGCGCCACAGGCGCCGGCGCCAAAATACCTTAGGTCACCAAAAGCGCTGAAAACTTGTTTCGTGGGGTAGCTTGAACGCCTGAACACGAATATCACATTCGTTTCCCGCGAAAATGCCCGGCGCCAAAATACTTCAGGTCACCAAAATCGTTGAAAACTTGTCTCGTGGGTTAGCTTGACCCCTGAACACAAATAATATATCACAATCGTGCCACAAAACTGCCTGGCGCCCGCGCCAAAATGTCCTAGATCATCAAATTCCCTGAAAACTTGTCCCTACCGGTGAACCGACCCCCTCAACAAAAATATCATGTCCACTTAACGCGTTGACGACGATTTCCGTCAATGGTGGACGACAGAAAGTTTGTCTTGTGGAACGGCGTCGCCCAATGCTGTCCCACAGTTATTATATAACTCAAGATCTGCGCGATTGTTTCACTTTCTTTTCATAAAATTAGTTTCAAGAACAAACATTTTCGGGTCGAGGGATGCGATATTGTTCTTTAGGAGATCAAACCACCCCGGGAGACAAATTTTCAGTCAATTCTGTCTTTAGAGGAAGAATTTGGTAAAAAATGGCCTGATTTCGGAAGATTGGAGCAATAAGAGCTAAATTGTGTCAGAGATTCGAGATTGTATACTCGTCTCTTGCATTTCTCGATACATTTTGGTCGTAGTAATTCATTTATTTGGAAATTACTAAGTTTCAATGTAGAAAAATGTGCCGTCCCAGGCGCAAGTCATGGGAAAAATGGCTCGTCGTCAACGTGTTAACCGTGGTCGTTCACTTCTCGGTAGCCCTCGTATACTGAACAAGAACGCGGGCGGAGGTTCTGTGCGCCACTTTCGCGCATTGACACTGATACGCTTACTTTCACTCATGATTGTAGGGACAAGGTTCTTCATCGGTCTGTCAACTTGGGCCTAACGCTAGGACCGTGTGAGCCTGCTCTCTTAACCATTCGGCTGTCCCTTCAGGCTCTTCAGAAACTGAATGGCGAATTTGTGAAATTTGTTTAGGTAGCGCCGCCTATTTATGGTACACTCCGCACGGTATGGGTCAGTCCCCCTCATTTCATGCGCCTATCGATTTTCTATCGTTTCTCACTTTTCCAGCTCTCCGCGATTTCCTGGGATCGAATTATGAATTTCTGAAACTAACTGGATCCGTCAAGGCGAAGCCTCGCACATGCCAGGCGGGGCTTAGCAGAAGTCTCGTTTGACCCGTACTTTTCGGCTTGCACACGCCAGGCGGGGCTTAGCTGAAGTCTCGTTTGATCCGTACTTTTCGACCCAAACCCTAGTCATCCCACCCTTAACCCAGCCCCTCAAACTGGCTCTTCTGATGATGCCGAATTTTCGAACAGACGGACAAAAACAACAAAACAACAAACCTTAGCCTCAACTGACAGGACGAATGCACCTTTTTTGAATGGAAGCATAGTCTTCCCTGGATTACGTGTTCCCTCCGGATAGATCCAAATCTTTCTCTGAACATGGATGGATAGGAAACCTAACAGAAAATTCTAATATTGGAGGGATTCACATGGTCATTCAAATGAGATATAAGCCGCGATATGCGTTTCACAAGTATTTTATATGCATTGCATGTTCTAAAGTACAGATATCAAACACGCTTAACGATTCTTTGAACGGATTTATAGAGATATTTTCTGCGTCATCTTGCCTGAAATCGCAAACCCTTGTACATATGGCAAATGGTGAGCGCGGAACAGTATCAAAAAGGGACAGAACTAGTGGCTGAGTATTCGCAGGCGACGGATTATAAAATCTGTTCCCTGCGACATCCGCTTCTTTGCTAGGTGGGGTCGCTTCTTCAATGATAAATGGAGCACCTATCGCGCTCATATGCAGCAGAGCGAGGTTTTCGTGACCTCTAATTACAACCCGGGTTCTTAAAGACACATGGTACGCTCAAACACATTGAGGGTGTATGAGACTATCAGCCCCCCAGCTGTCGATGTGTCGTGGTCCCCCCGCCCAAAACTGCACGGGGTCAGAGTACGGGACCGTGGGAAAGTCGTAATTCCTTGCTACGCCGCCCGTTTTTGCAAACTCACGTTTTTACTAACACCGTCCGCGCGGCGCGGTCGCGTGCAGCTCTCTTGGCTTTTGCCAAGTCCTGTAATTGCGCTTTGGAATACAAGTACAACGCAATTTCTTTATGCGGATAACATTTTAGGTTCTGCAAAATAAGAACTGAAGATGATGACGAGGGCTAGAACTCAAGAGCAACTGTGCTGCTTCTGCAACAGCCCTCGCAGGCCGCGCATTCCCACAAAACATCAAAATAAAAACGGCCTAAGCGTCCCACTCGTTAGTTTGAAGTATTTCTATAGCATTAGAGCCGGAGCCGGATCGCAGAAATGCACACGCGATTTTAATTTATTGCGTTTCCTTAGTTTTTCAATTTTGTTTTATTTACATCTACATTCGTTGTTGTTCATTTCTAGCCTTTGTCATCTTCATCACCTTCTATTCGGACTTTGAAGCATGAGCAATACCTCAAATGTTAGGAAATTGCGTTTTGCTTGTATTGTCATGTTTTATTGTCATGTTCGTTTTTATTGTCATGTTCTGTGGGAATGCGCGGCCGCGGGATATTGCAGAAGCAGCACAGTTGCTCTTGAGTTCTAGCCCTTGTCATCATCTTCGGTTCTTATTTTGCAGCACCTAAAATGTTATCCGCATAAAGAAATTGCGTTGTACTTGTATTCCAAAGCGCAATTACAGGACTTGGCAAAAAGCCAAGAGAGCTGCACGCGACCGCGCCGCGCGGATGGTGTTAGCATAAACGTGAGGGCGGTGTAGCAAGGAATTACGACTTTCCCACGGCCGTACTCTGACCCCGTGCAGTTTTGGGCGGGGGGACCACGACACATCGACAGCTGGGGGGCTGATAGTCTCATACACCCTCAATGTGTTTGAGCGTACCATGTGTCTTTAAGAAATAATCTGGAGACTTGAGAAGATGGTTTTATGTGGGACCCTTAAGATTATATTGTGAACTCCTAAATCCTCGAGTGACTGACTACAGATGCTTCGTGTACCCTATGAGGGAGTTCTGCCTTCTGACCGCAGCTCAGGCGTAGGAGTAGTCAAGCATAACAAAACGAAAAAGGAAAAAACACGCATAACATGCAGTGAAAAAGCGCAACGTTGAGGCTTAAGAGGAAAAGTAATGGTGGTAACAGCATGATCCTATTGATCTTGTTTTGCAGCTAGATCAAGTGACACAGTTCAAAATATTGTAAACACAACGATATTCTGCACTATTTGATCCATTAAAAAATAAGTTCACGTTTCACGTTCAGTTTCACGTGCTACCTTTGGATGTGACTTTCTTCCAAATGTGTGCAAGGAAACACGGAAACGAAAGCTTTTGTAACGCCGTTCAGAAACTGATTAGTAGTTCGAAAGGCAACTTTGAGATCAGTGTTGCAAACGCATATGGCGGTGTACATCACATCCTTATTAAATGGTCCTACTATCTAAACACTTCCCTTGCCGGGCCTTTCTGGATAACTTACTTGGTTCTCAATGATAGCCTTCAACGTCGAATCAAGAGCCTTGTGAGCCTTTTCTTTGCTGAAACGATTAATCCAGATAGCATTACACATAAAGGCACAGAGGTTGAATCCGGGTAAATATTTGAGACTACTTTTCAGCATCACGACACAGTTCTTCGGCCAGCAGAACGACATTCCTAAAAAAACCAACTGAACATCTGAAAGGCTGAACTGATGGAATGGAAACGGAAAGAAAAACAAACATATTATTAAGGCACACAGTTACTGCATATTAATTTTTAGTCATTGTATTTCAACCATTAAGTTTTCGGAAAAGTTACCCAGCACTTTCAAGAGAAAACTTTGCAAATATTCCCCTTTCTCAGCACAACTGACAATCCACGAATGTATGGATTATAATTATCGACAACGTACATGGCGTTTCACCGATATACGTCAGCTTGCTCTCGTCAACGTAATTCTTGAAAAGGTTATCCAGTACTGTAGCATGCACTATCAGAATCGCCGTATAAGAAACACTGAAAAGCATGGCTCAAGAAACCTAGGTCCTCCTTAAAATTTTGCAGAAGCATTCAATCAATTTCCGCCCGTTTCATGTTATACGACCACTTTGAACAAAGATTAATTTACAAGTTCATTAATACACCAGCAACAAAACCATGATCACCCTATGCTCATCTCTTGGAAGTAACTCTATGAGTGAATGTGATGAAACGTTAACACATAAACATTAATGCTTCTCAGCTTGTCGATGGTTTCGAACTGCCCTTAGTTTTCATGAACCTTTCGAACAGTTATATCATCGATTCCAAGACTACGCAGGCCGCTTCATAAGATACGGTGACTTTGTGCTGCTAGAACCGTTCCGACGTTGACTTGCATGCAAAGGCGACTGCAATATCCTGCTGGAAAATTGGCTTTCGCCGCCGCCAGCGATGCAGGAACGGCAACAGGCTGGACTTAAGAGCTTTCTGATGTTCTGAGTTCCAATCGGCAGAAAACAAATGCTAGCTTACTACTTGTACAGAAAAACCATTACGAAATGCATTCATTAGAATGATTGTACAAGGGCGCTATTTTGTGTGTAAATGTTAGCACCATGTACAGCGATTCTTTCTTTCAGTTTCCTTACAGTCCTTTCAACCAGGGCACAGCATTAGTTGGGGATTTTGGTCGAGCCCGTACGACCCCCCCCCTTTTTGGAGGTTCGGTACGACCCCCCCTATACATAAACTTATGAAGTTTCTTCCCCCCCCCCCTTGAGGAG